CTGTCATTTTTTTGAGAAACCTCTTCCCTAGGATGAAAATCTACAGGAAATCAAACGAGTCTAATTGCAATCGGAACTATGGCAAAAATTACACTTCCATTTACATTTTCCTTTAGAATGAAAATACATTCTTTAAGGTATCTTTCTCTCTCTCTCTCTATACCTTTTTGAGCTTCTGCGCTGAGATTTCCGAGATTCTCCAAGAATTCCAAAGTCTTGTCATTCTTTGCAGAATCCAGCAAGCAAGATCTTTACATCCACATTGCAGAATGGAAATGTTTCAACTAGATTCCTGAAATCGTGGACTTTACGTTCCACACCAGTTTCAGGGTCCTGATAATTTTTCCCCTAGGTTCTTCATTTGTTCCTACAATCTTCTCCCATTCTATACAATGTTCTATTCTCCTCGAATTCATACACTTGTTGTTTATTCCCTTTTGAAGTGTTTCATCATCGATTTTAGTAAACGAATGATTTCTTTAATGACGATTATCTAGAAAAATATCAGGGGTTTTGTAGGAGCAATTGTTTTTTCCCGAAGGGAATTCAACGGGGAAGAAAAGGCTCCATATTAGCCTTAGTTTTACTCAGACAATTTTGTTAAAAACACTTTCGAAAAAAAGTGTTTTTATTTATTTTTTTTATTCGAAAATGAATTGAAATAATGGAGAGTGAAACAAAAATAAAAAAATCGGGTCAAATTATTTTCTCTCCAACTTTTGACGACTTGACATTTGTGGCTGTCAGAGATCGAGAAACATTTGTTATACAAGCCATTATCATAGAGTCCATCTGTCTATACCCGTGAAAGTACATATAATACGAAATAAATATATAACCGTGAGGATAAAAGAATATTGACGTCTGGTGGAGTAATAGGTGTATTGGTTTCTCCGGAAGAATCGAAAAGTAGCTCAACAAGAAAGGCGTGTTCGAGACAAGGTCGCGGTCCAGAGAGACTGGAGCGGAGAAAGTATTTATCTCATTTCTCGAACGGTCGGATGCTCAGTTCTAAAGATCAGCGCACTCGAGTTATGTCACTATTACCCGAGGTTCTTTAATTATCGCGCTAACCATCGAAAGAGTAGGGAATGAAGAGAGCGTGCACACAACACTTGCTCAACCTAAAACTTTATAAATATCGTGCACTACAATCGTCTTCCATTTCTCTGACGTAAGGCCTCCCCTTTTGATCTTGATAAGAAAACAAGTATTTTTAACCCGCTCCAAATTGTTCTTGCTAATCCGTGAGCAGCTCGTTATTATTGCTGACAATGCGAACTGGTGTAATGCATGTTGCAAACCTAGAGCAATTATCCGCCAATTAGGAAAATAGTTGGAAATTTCAATATGTATTCTTAATTAGAGAATCGAAATCAGTTAAATGAAACATTCCCGACAAGAAAAGGTTCTTTAAACAATATTTTTTTTGCAAAAAATAGTATTTTCTGAAGAATAGTTTGTGAATGTACTTATGCAAAATTTTTGGACATAATTTTACCGAACTAACTGCATGAAAATTGCGACCAACTGATGAGAACATTGTTTGCTTACGATTTTCGCAGAAAAAAAAGAATTTCAAGGGAGCATGAATTATTTCCCAACCAGAATTTCATAATTTACGCAAAGCTCCTAGTCAGCCCTAGTTTTACTTATTCTGGTAGACGAAAATCATCTTTTAAAAAGAAATTACATCAAATATTAATCAATTTATTATTTTTAACTATTATTTATTAATGTCGATCAAATTTTATTTAAAAAGATTAAATGAAATTGCTAATTTACAATGAGAACTTAATTTACTTACGATTTTCGCAGCAGAAAATAAGAATTTCAAAGGAGCATGAATTGCTTCCTAACAGGAAGTTCATAATTTACGGAAAGCTCCTGGTTAGCCCTAGTTTTACTCATTCCGGTCAACGAAAATCGTCTCAAAAGAAGAAATTTCATCAAAAAGTAAAAAACCAATGACTTTTTTGACCTAGAAATAAAAATTCCTAAGTAGCAACAGTTGTTTCCAAATCAGAATAACCTCCTTCACAAAAAGCTCCAGTTTAGCCTTAGTTTTACCCAACTCCGCAATTGAAAATCAATCGTCAATTTCAAAAAACAATAAAAAAAAGTGCCAAATTCAATTATTCGTGCAGGAAACAATATTTTCGTCGTCAGAAACAATAAGGAAGAAATTAAATTATTTCATCTCTTCACAATCGAACATATATACAGTTTATAATTCATTTTCTTTTCATTTTCTATTCATTCAAATGTATAATTCGTTATGGTAATACACTCCGTGGATTATCTGGCGTCGTATGTCACTGACCATAAGCTGAGCTTGAATAATAGATACCGTATTCGCGATTATTACACCGTCATAATCCTTTCGCTGGGAGGGTAGGGGTGAAGGGAGGACTTATAAATTCATACATGAGTTGCATTTCCAAAGGTTTAAAATGAGCTCCCGTATAATATACAATAGCAACTCAGGCACTTATACATTTCTGGAGGATATTATGTTCGTAAATAATATTAAATTGTGTTTGCTTCTCTCCTTTTGCTATTTATAAACAACTTAGGTTCTATTCACAATCTCAAGCTTTATTCTCACAGTTGTTTTTTTCAGTTCACAATTTTCCTCCTCCAATCCTTAGGGTTTAAAATAATTTTTAGGTTTTTGGAAATAATTGTAATTTGGAAGTATTGTCACGAAGAAGGTTACGGCTAATGTGGAGCTTTTCTTTCAAAATTAAATTTTGATTTAGAAACAATTTAAAAACTAGGGCTAAACTAGAGCTTTTTGTCAAGAATGATGATTTTTATGCACAATTCTCTAATTGGAACAGATTTTGACGAAGAAGATTCAGTAAAACTACGGCTAATGTGAAGCTTTTCTTTCAACACTAATTTTTGATTTAGAAACAATTCAAAAACTAGGGCTAAACTAGAGCTTTTAGTCCAGAATGGCAATTTTTGTGCATAATTCTCTAATTGAACCCGATTTTTATGAAACACGTTCAGTAAAACTACGGCTAATGTGGAGCTTTTCTTTCAAAATTAAATTTTGATTTAGAAACAATTAAAAAACTAGGGCTAAACTAAAAATTTTTGTCCACCCTGACAATTTTACATATAATTCTCAAATAAGACCAAATTTTCACGAAGCAATACCTATAAAACTAGGGCTAACCTGGAGCTTCTCTTTCATCACTAAATTTTGATTCAGAAACAATAGAAAACTGAAGCTAAATTTGGTGAACAAAACGAGTCCACGCGGATAGTTTGACAAAGAACACCGTTCAATAAGAACACAGCTTCTTAATAAGTAGAGTAAAAGTAAACTATATAATATCACTGCAAAGAAAATAAATTTTCAAACAGATTAAAGTACTGATAGGAGCATTGTAATAGTATTAAAATATTCAAACAAGTTTATCGGGACTTTTATCAAAAGGATGAAAAAAGAACGATTTGATAGTGAAAAGAAAATTTTTCATTATGCAACTTTTATTTTTTGATAATGACGCAGATAATGTTGAATAATAGAAGCTTCGAGAGAGTGATGCTGAGTGTGTGTTTCTCTTATACATACAAAGTTGGCTTCATTGTTAACTGGTCAGTGCCACCCACAATCATCAGTTACTTTCTTTCTATGAACTCGAGTTAAATTACTGCGATGCCTACTACAACGTCGCAACACGAGTGTATCTACCTATATACAGATGGAGATTATATTATACGTAGAAATATAAATATACACGTGTAGGTACGAGTTATATCTACCATTTGTTCCTCTCCACCAAAGATTTACTACACAGGTAGAATTTTTTTGTTAATTTTTTGCAAATTTTTTTCAAACTTTTTCTACTTTTTTCCTAATTTTTTCAAGAAACATTTATTAAAAGATCATCGAATTTTAATTTTTTTTTGAAAACTAATTTTTTGTGCGATTTTTGAGGAAAAAAATAGGAGCCAAGGAGGAAATGTTATTCTATTTGGACAAAGAGATAATTGTTTGTAATAAGCTCCATGTTAGCCCTAGTTTTACTAGTGCTGATTGGCATAAATTAAAAAATTTTAAAAAGCAACCATAATTGATAATTTTTAATAATTTATTAGTTTTGGTCGCAGATTTATTAACTGTAGTTAAATTTTATTAAAGGGAGTGAAAACATAATTAATTTTCAGTGCGAGGACTTAGTTTTCTTATGATTTTCACAGAAATAATTAAGTATTTTAAAGAAGCAACAATTATTTTCTAACCAGAATTTCATAATTTACAAAAAGCTCCTAGTTAGCCCTAGTTTTACTTGTTCTAGTAGATGAAAATCGTCTCCAAAGAAGAGATTACATTAAATATTAATCATTTTTAACTACTATTTATTGATTTCTTTCAAATTTGCTTAGAAAGAGTGAAAAAATTTTAAGTTTACATTATGAGAACTTAATTTTCTCACGATTTTTGCAAAAGAAAATAAGTATTTTAAAGGAGCAACAGTTGTTTCCGAACAGGAATGTCCTGCCTTGTCGAAAGCTCCAGTTAAGCCCTAGTTTCACTCATACTAGTTCACAATATTTAGAAATTCAAACAAAAGTAACTGAATATAATTTTCAACCATTATTTATTAATATCGATCAAATTTATTAGTTTCTATCAAAATTTGCATAAAATTAGTGAAAAAATTGTTGAATTACAGTTTGAGAATTTATTTTGATTACGATTTTCGTAGAGGAAAATAAGTCTTTTAAAGAAGCAGTACTTGTTTTCGAATCAGAATTTCATAATTTACAAAAAGCTCCTAATTAGCCCTAGTTTTACTAATTCTGGTTCCCAATAAAGTATCAAAGAGTAAAAAACTACATAATTTAGTAAAGAAAATGTTAACATATAATAAGAAGTAGAAAAAATATTTTAAAAAGTATTTAAAAAATAGTGAAAATCGTAAATAAATTGGAAAATCCAAAAAAATGAGCAAAAAATAGTAAAAATCTTGACCACTCACCAGGATATCCCTCGGGAATAACGATTTCGGGTCCAACTTTAATGTCGTGCCTGTAACGGTGCATCAGCAATGTTGCAGTGACCCTGAGTGACCTTTGCTGTTGTTTATAGAGCAAAATAGGCCTGCCACCGCCGCCTTCGACTCGCACGACTCGCGGCAGGGAAAATCTGTCCAGGAATTCACGTAGTGGCATAAAACCAACGCCAGAACTCGCAACGTCTGCCGTTGCCTCACGTGAACTTGGCAAGGAATCTTCGCCAGTTCCGGTAGCGTCGCCGCTCGAGAGCGTTGAGAATTCACCACTCGATGACATGACAAAACGAAAACAACACACACTTCTTTTTTTTTCTCTCTAAATTATTATTATTATTCACTCGAAACGTTTAAAATTTCTCAGTTCTTGGTAAATTCTTTAATGGTAAAACTATCCAAAGGGCCACCGCAATGGTTCACTGGGACACATCGTAACATCAATTTACGTCCTTTCCTTTTTACCGTTTTCCACATAACAATCGTTTACTTTTTCTTTTTATCACAATCCTTGGCGAGGTTTCCCATCTCAAGCGAAATGCCAATGTCAAACTGTCATCTGCAAAAAAAGGAATGAAATTCATTTTTATTACTTCCTTGATGTACTTTGCTTTTATGTGGGGGAAATGTTTTTCTTAAGCAGGGGAAGAATTATTATTTTGGTTTTTGAAGGAGCTGAAGAATTTTCTTAATCATATTAAGCCTGGTAATCGAAAGCTCCATGTTAGCCCTAGTTTTAGTTGAGAAATTAGTCGAAAATCGATATTTATTTATTTCAGAAAAAAGCTAAAAATCACGTTTTTGGGTCAAATTTCACAATTTAGGGTGATTTAGAGAAAAACATGGAATGATATCAAGAAGCTTAAGAATTTTCTTAATGATATTAAGCTTGGTGATCGAAAGCTCCATGTTAGCCTTAGTTTTGATGTAGAAACTAAGCGAAAATCGAGATTTGTTAAAGAAAAAGTGCAAAAAGCCCATTTTTGGGTCAAATTTCACATTTTATGGTAATTTTGCGAGAAGCATGGAATGATATTCAAGGAGAAGAATTTTATTTAAAAAATGTGATTTCTATTAAAAAATTTTATTCATACTCAAATTTTGCAAAAATTAAGATTCTTTCACTATTTTGAAAGAAACACAGAGTTATATCAAGAGGTTCAAAGCATTTTTTCAAAGTTAATATGTTTAGTAATCGTAAGCTCCATGTTAGCCCTAATTTTGTTGGAGTTATTAAGCAAGAATCAAGATTTTTATTATTAATTTAAATTTTTTATTGAGATTTTGCAAGAAATAAAGAAAAATTTTAAAGGAGCTGAAAAATTTTCTAGAAGTAATATTTATTTGTATATATAAATAATTAAATTCTCGTAGAATTTTCTAATAAAAATTGATTTAAAAATGAATTTAAGTTACTAAATTTTATTTGTTTTCAGATTTTAAAAGAAACAAAAAATTATGTTGACAAATCTAAATCAGTTTCTTAATGCTAGTATGTTTAGTAAATGAATGCTTCTAGTTAGCCTTAGTTTTATTACAATTTTCTCATTAATTATAATTTGTTTTGCAATTTTGCAAGAGATAATAAAAAATTTTGAAGAAGCTGAAATTTTTTTTTAAAAATAACAAGTTTTTTAAGACAAAGCTCCACAATAGCCCTAGTTTTACTGAATCTGTTTCGAAAAAATCGATTTGAAAAAAAGAAATATACGTGAAAATCGTCAAGGTGTACAAAAGCTTCAGTTTATCCCTAGTTTTTTAATTGCTTCTAAATAAAAAATTAGTATTGAAAGAAAAGCTCTACTTGAGCCCTAGTTTTACTGAAACTTGTTCATAAAAATCAAGTTTAATTAGAGAATTGTGCTTAAAAATCAACAGAGTGGACAAAAAGTTAGAAATTAGTCCTAGTTTTATATGGGATCTAAATAAAAATTTATTTTTGAAAGACATGCTCCATATTAGCCCTAGTTTTACTAAACCTATTTCTTTTAAATTAAGATTAAATAGACAGAAAAGGCAAAAACCATCATATTAGATAAAAAGCTTCAGATCAGCCCTAGTTTTCAATTGTTCCTGAATCAAAAATTAGAGTTGAAAGAAAAGCTCTAGGTTAGCCCTAGTTTTACTTAACTTTCTTTATGATAATTAAGTGCAATTAAAGAAAAAAATGTAAAAAATGAGGGTGGACAAAATGTTCCAGTGTAGCCCTACTTTTTCAATTGTTTTCGAATCGAAATTTCGTTTTTCAAAAACAGCTGTAGTTTAGTCCTAGTTTGTACTTGTTTCCATATAAAAATTGAGTACTTAAAAAAAAGCTCCATACCATCTTTAGTTTTTCTAAATCACTAAAACTACGGCTAATGTGGAGCCTTTCTTTCAAAACTAATTTTTGATTCCGAAACCATTGAAAAACTAGGGCTAAACTGGAGCTTTTTGTCCACCCTGACAATTTTTCCGAATAATTCTCTAAACTTACTCAATTTTCAAAAAGCAGATTCAGTAAAACTAGGGCTAAACAGGAGCTTTCTGTCCAGCTTACGTTCCTTGCTAAGAAAATCTCCACAACTTCTAGTGAGCCTTCAAGAGCCTTTAACTCCAACACATTACAGTCGGTGCATCACTAATAATATATTCTTTTGGAATGCTTTGACGGCATGACGGAAGACAAAATGCAGATGCATGTATATATGTGACAAAATTATGTATTCAGAAAGGTAAATAGAAGGAAAAAAGGGGAGAGGGAAGTGGAGGAAGGTTGAACGACCAGAGAAGGAATTCGTCATTCAAAGAAGCGAAAAGAATTGCGTTCCCTGTTTTGCATTTTATTTCTTTTTTCTTCATTGTAATATACATAATGTTGAAATTAGCTGATGAAATAATTGCAATTTTTTTTCACAATGATGTAGCTTCAAAAGAATTTTAATGTTTTACAAAATAATATATGCATTTATTACAACATTATTTAGTTTATTATTCTTTTTTTTATTGTTTACATACTTTTCTACATCCTATCAATAACTAAAACTGTTCTTTTAAGTTATTTTTTTGGTTGCAATTTTCATGAAATATATTTAGTAAAACTAGGGCTAAGTAGGAGCTTTCTTTTAATTGCGAAATTTTGTTCTGGAAACAATTACCGCTCTTCCTAGGCTCTTAGTTCATTTTGCGAAAATCGTCAGTAAAAAAATATATTTTTGGTAAATATATAGGTATTATTTTCTCAAAAATAGAATAAAATAGAATGGAAGTTTCTAGAGAAAAAAAATAGAAAGTAAAGTAGAAAATTAAGAAAAGAAATGTAAAGCAAATTTCTAGAAAATAGAAAAAGGAAATAAAAAAGAAAATATAAATAAAAACAAAAGTGGAGGAAAAAAGGAATGAGGAACAATATTCTAAAGTGTCTATTAAGGACAAAGTTTGATAAAGGAGGCAATAAAGATGATGATGCTATTAGAAACGATGATGATATTAATAATCATAGTGATGTTCTTAATGTCCTTTTGACCATCGTTGTAATGATACCGGGGGTTAATAATAATAATAATGATGATGGTGATGATCTTGGAGACCTTATTATTAATAATAGTGACAGCAAAATGAACCAAGAAGCTGATGAGTATAGGCTACTGATAAAAATTACTAATCATAATGTCGATCCTTACATTCTAAACATGACAATAATGAACCTAATGATAATCAAAAAATTTAATTCCCTCCCATGGTATATTATTTCCATATATAATTTTTTTTAAATTTCTCTTTACATCATTTTCTTAAGTTTATAATTTCTGAGAATAAAATAATTTTTGCTGATGAATTCCGTAATTTTTTTACTTTGCATAAAAAAATCCCCCAGGAGATTGGATGGTATATTTTTGCTAAAAATTAAGAGGAACTAAAGGAGGAACCATTGCTTTTTGGGTAAAATTTCATGAAGGGCTAAAAGCTCCAGGTTAGCCCTAGTCTTTTATTTGTTTACGAAGAAAAATTTTGTTTTAAAAGAAAAGCTCCATATTAGCCTTAGTTTTAGTGTTTCAATAAAACTAGAGCTAATATGGAGCTTTCGATTACCAAGCTTAATATCATTGAGCAAATTCTTCAGCTCAACTTCACATTTGTCAAATTACCATAAAATGTGAAATTTGACCCAAAAATGTGCTTTTTACTCTTTTTCTTTAATAAATCTCGATTTTCGCTTAGTTTCTCTGTTAAAATTAAGGCTAACATAGAGCTTTCGATTACCAAGCTGATTATGATTAAGAAAATTCTTCAGCTCCTTTAATATCATTCTCTACTTTTTGCAAAATCGTCGTAAAATGTGAAATTTGACCCAAAAATGTGCTTTTTACTCTTTTTTTTAAATAAATCTCGATTTTCGCTTAGTTTCTCCATTAGAACTAAGGCTAACAAAGAGCTTTCGATCACCAAGCTCAATATCATTGAGAAAATTCTTCAGCTCCTTGAATATCATTCCTATCTTTTCGCAAAATTACCATAATATTCGAAATTTCACCCAAAAACGTGATTTTTAGCCTATTTCGGTAATTAATCTCGATTTTCGCCTATTTTCTCTATTAAAACTAAGGCTACCATGAAGCTTTTACTTGATAAACTTGTTATCTTTAAGAATATTCTTCAGCTCCTTCAAAAATTTTCTTTACTTCTTGCAAAATCGCAATAAAAAATAATAATTAATAATGAAAATCTTGATTTATGTCTAATTACTTCTAAAAAACTAAGGCTAACATGGAACATTCAATTACTAAGCTTATAAGCTTTAAAAAAATGGTTTAAATTTATCAAAATAATTAATTTTTTTTTTTAAATCGTAAAAAAATAAATTTGGTAATTGAAAATCTCGATTTTTGGTTAATTTCTCCATTAAAATTAAGGCTAACATGGAGCTTTCGATCACCAAGCTTAATATCATTAAAAAAATTCTTCAGCTCCTTGAATATCATTCCATATTTTTCGCAAAATTGCCATAAAATTCGAAATTTCATCCTAAAACGTGATTTTTAGCCTATTTCTGTAATTAATCTCGATTTTCGCCTAATTTCTATATTAAAACTAGGGCTTACATGGAGCTTTTACTTAATAAACTTGTTATCTTTATTAAGAATATTCTTCAGATCCTTTAAAATTTTTCTTTAACTTTTGCAAAATCGCAAGAGAAAATTATAATTAATAATGAAAATCTTGATTTTCGCTTACTTACTTCTATAAAACTAGGGCTAACCTGGAGCATTCAATTACTAAACTTATAAGCTTTGAAAAAGTGGTTTCGATTTATCAAAAGAATTAATAATTTTTTTCAAAATCGTAAAAAAATGAAATTTGGTAATTTAAAATCTCGATTTTTGGTTAATTTCTCCGATAAAATTGCGGCTAACATTAAGCTTTCAATTACCAAGCTTAATTTCTTCTAGAAAATTTTTTATTTCTTGCAAAATCGCAATCATTTGGTGAAATTGAATAGAAATCAGAATTAAAATTTAAAAAATTGAATAAATTGAAATTGAAAAAATTAAATAAATTGAATTTAAAAAAATTGAAGTT